GGTTTACATATTTAATTTTTTTAAACGACATTTTTTAAATGACAAATGTACACATATATAGTTTCATTAAGAAAATTTCAACTTACTTATGAAAATAATTTACCGAGCATACTATTTACGCGGAAAATAATTATTGGTTCAGTTAACGAGATAATGAATACACCAAACATGTTTTGTTATCTATTGTATCTTACATTAAATCAACCAATTTTTTTCCTTGTCCTTTGTCACCAAAGTAGAGATATAATTATATGCAAACTGTACTACAAACTGAATTGCTTTGAATCTCACTAGTTGTATTTTTTAATGTCTCGTAGATAATCAAAAATGCATTACGACAATAAACATATTTAATGCTTCTATATGGTCTCAGAGACATGAATTTATTTTTAATGCCAATAACAGGACATATATCTGTACCCAAAATATTTTGTATCTCAGCTACTTTTTCTAACGCTGTATCTTGCGACATAGTAGTTAAAAGTACCGGACAATCCTGAGATTGCATTGTCTTTATGCAGTTATTCCGTAATTTTAATACTTGAAAAGCTATGATCAGGTTCGCTCTTCTATATATCGGATTGGCCATATAATCGTTGTATGTTATACAAGAACATATATAGATAAACTTCTTGCCATTATAAACACAACGGGGACAAATCTCCTGCATACCAAATTCAAATTGTAATTTTGATCCTATCAATACAACTATTAGCACTTGTATATTTGGGAAAAGATGTAACAATATTTCCCAAGCCGGTAAACCATTTCTTTCTATGCGGGATGCTGCTATAATATGAATGATATAAGTAGATTTGGTCAGTAGAACATTAAATAATTTTGCATGGTACATCCCATAATATACCGAGAGCGGTCCTGATAGGTAATCGCTATAGATGTAATCCAAATCGTACCATACACCCTTTCTATTTTGTACATATTCTTCTATAAATCTTGCCATATCATTGAAAGGTCCATCGTTATCAGGTAACTTCATAAACTTCAATGATGAGACTTTACTTTCGTACTGAACATTTGAGATCTCAAGATTTAGCCACAGTGTCAAAATGTTGCAACTGCTGGGATGTTGCTCTTCAAATTCTTTCTTATGTTCCAAACAATAGTCGGCGGACAAACATCTTTTGCAGGAATACAGTCCAGTTTGTTGGTGACATATAAAGCATGTTCTAGCAAAGACGAACATTTGTATTTCGTATTCCTCAAGTGAACGCCCTAGATTATTTGCAACTGTTAAATAAAATTTACACTGTTCTTCGTGCCATTCTTCGGCAGTAAAACGGCGGGCGAGCCATTGCGGGTGGTCTTTTAGGAACTTTTCTATAGCTGTACAAATTTGGCGGTGTTCCGGAAGATGCAGGATTTTGTGATCTTTGGAGCAGTAAGAGATCAAGGAACACCGGTTACACGTTATCAGATTTATCATTTCTTTTGTCCTCTTGCAAACATGACAAAAATTTGGATGAAACATTTTATTGTAATATACAGACGTCCACGGTCCAGAGTATGGAAATAATGTCGATGTGATGTTCATATTAGGATGCTTGTGTAATAATGACAGAGTATTGCACAATATCAACTTAGAAATAACTCACAGTATCCGCCAACTTAGCAGTAATAATAAAATTCTCTCTACACGCAGTATTATTATATTAATGGTTGTTCGTAGATTGCTTGAAAGTCACTATAATAAAGTGTTGACGTATGTTTGTGGATGTTTCAAGATTTGTTTACAGTTTAAGATGTAGACAATTTGAACTGAGAGCATAAGATTAGTCATAGATATTTATTGCCGCAAGTATTATTGTAAATAAATTTGAAACGTACGGAGGAAATTGCAAGATATTATATTGTTGTCAATATTTTTCAAAATAAAAGTTGTACATAATAATTTTAACGTAACTAAATTAATTTTATAGGTTATTAACTTTAAATTTATAACTTAACTTGGTTCAGGAAATTTAATCTATAATATTGAATGTTGATTGTATACTATTGTGCATTGATCATAATAGCAACATTATAGATAGACAGAAAGTAAATTTATAATTATGATGTAATTATATTTGTCCGATCACTAATTATCAAAATAATATAATCAATAATTTGAAACTAAAGCTATAATTATATGATAATCGTATGATTGTCTGTGTGACTCTTGCAACATTGGTAGAGCAGCCGGAAAAATTAGAAATTCATAAACTATGTATCATCTTAATCTATATGTCTTATTTTTTTTTATTGATTAGTGAAGGTTTGTACAAAAGACGTACGGTGCCGGATGCAGAATATATTTTGCACTAAAAGACTACATATTTTTCGCAGCGCGCCTCCTCCGTGATGCTATCTCTTAGAACGAAAAGGAACTAAACGTTGTGAGACTTAATTGATCACGACCGCAGAGATGAGGTTGCTTAATTGAAGATTTGGCGATTTTGAACCTTACACTAGAATATCTCCGCTTATAAAGCACACAGCGCAAAAATAAATACAAAAGTAACAGTTTTTTTATATAATTGAGATCAATTAGTCTATAATTGAAATCGAACTGGTCGTTACCCAGGCAGGACAGAAAATCATGATGGCATCAAAATGACATCAAAATGATGGGGAAAACTCATTTTTTCATCATGGTTCAGTCCATTTCTTGGAATTTCTCTTCGGAATTTTGTGCGGAAAATGACTTGCCTTCTCAGTTTAATTTAATTAATTTTCACAATTTTTGGTTTTCAAAACATTCCGGACACCCTGTACATATATTCTTTATATATTATTAGATGAATATTGTTGAGTTATTCACACATGATATAAAGATTTTGTACATTTTATAAAATAATATAAATTAATGTTCAATTCTTTAAAAATAAGAGGAGAAATATCTGCATGTCATGAATCTGCAAATGATTTTTCTGTCAATAAAAAGAAAAGTCGATTAAATGAAATCGAATTGATAAAGTATTATTTGCCAAACAGGCTTCGTATGTTCTTTTTAATACAGTTTAATGACATTATCATGTAGCTATCGGCAAAAGTATCCGTACGCTTTTCTTGTTGACAATGAACTAAAATCGGGTTTTACAGTTAGTAATTCACAAATATAATATATTAAATTAATATCAGTGGAAAATTACATTTATATTGTTGATATACATGATGCATAGTTTTCAATTATTTTAATGTCCCGTTGTTTCTATACAGTAAAAGATAGTAAAAAAATAGCGAAAAGTTAAAAATTTGTGCTTTCATGCTCTGTGCATAGAGAAGATTCTGTTAACGAAGAAGCATCACAAATATGGGTTAAGTGGTTTTAAGGAAAGCAATGAATCATATGGAAAATGAGTCGCTGCCGGAATATCGAACTGTTATTGAAGATGATAAACCGCGTGAACATATGCGTTCAAACTCACGAAAAAAAGATGCTGACGTTTATTTATAAGCATTTACAATTCCTGCATTTTGCCGATAGTTCTGATTGTAACTAAAAATAAAATCAATTACGAAGCTGCTGTTAAGAAAAACAGTGCTAAAAAATTTAAAGTATATAACGAAAGCGTGTAATATAACATGAAGAACAACAATAACGACACAGATTTCACACATTTCGTAAAATCATTTATTATGGTAAGTGGCCTATAGTTTATTGATGTGATCGGGTATATATTAATATTGAGTTTATTAACTGAAGATATTGAACTAATTTTAAGAATCATATTAAACTTTGCTGGTTGGTATGGAATTCTAGCTTACTTCTCATACGACTTGGCCGACGCGTTTCTCTTAAGACTGCCCTTATCCGGATAAAAATTATTCACGAATATTCAGATAATAAGAAATAAGGACATCCGGATTATTTGAATATCCAGATATTCGTAACAATATATTCAATATCGGTTATCCGAATATTCTGGCATCCGGATAATGTGGATATTTGAATAACGTTGGTATCCGGATGGATAACATGACAATTGCTCTTTTATGAATACGCAGGTAATATACAATATTAGATTTGTTTGTAATCTGACCGAGAAATATGCATATTTAGACACAAGAAAAGATACGAAAACAAATAATATAAAGTAATATTTATAGATGAATGTATGGTGAACTTTTACGAACAAAAATATTGCTCTTCCCATGTTGAAAGGATGTGTGCCGAATGTGTTGACCGTTATAAGAATTATATCTGTTATATAATAATCAAGTGGTTCATATATTACAAACTTTCTCATAAAATTTATAAAAATTAATATGGATAACTAAAATTAGTAACAATAGTCTAAGTTTTATTATATGAAAATTTATAAACATTTATTAAAATAATTTATTAAGATTCTGTCTGTGGAGTCTGTACACTATAAAATGTGTTGGGCAATTGTTCGGAATACAATAATAAAGTGCTTAAATTCCTTGTGTTCTTTTGACAACTTATTTTAGTAACGGCGGATAACGCCTAATAGTAGACAATGAAAACTCGACAACAATAATACGAGAAAATATTATCAAACTTCGTGTTTTTATTGTCCAGCATGATCGCCTATAGTTGTCAAAAGATTATCAAGAGATCCATATCATCTTGAAAGAGACTTCACTTTAAAGAGTTTATTCTATCACATTTTGCATTCTTATTTGTGGATATTGTTACATTAAATTTTCAGTAATAAAAGTGGAATTTTATATAATAGTACAGGATATATCTATTCAGTTTAATGACTGTCATCTGCACATAAACGCTTAAACATATAAATTTAAACGCAATATATTTAAACATAATAAATGTTATAAATTGTATATTGTATATTATAAAAATAAAAAGATGCATAAAACATAATATAATCCATATGTGTGATGTAAAGACGTCATTCAAACAAACAAAAACTACATTTACTATAAAATGGTTTATATATTTAGTGGTTTATATATTAATAGTATATTATATATTAATGGTATATACATTATTTATTTTTTTTTTAAATGACTGACGCACACACATATAGCTTCGTTGAGAAAATTTCAAGTTATTTGTGAAAAGAATTCACCAAACGTACAATACTATTTACGCGCAGGATAATTATTAATTCAATTAACGAGAAAATGAAACTAATGAGCACTAAACGTGTTTTGCTATTTATTGTTGCGTTAATCAACCAATTTCTTTTCCTTCATTTCCTTCATTTCCTTCATTTCCTTTCCTTGTCCTTTGTCACCAAAATAGAGATATAATTATATGCAAATTGTACTATTGCTTTGAATCGCACTACTTGCATTTTTTAATGTTTTGTAGACAATCAAAAATACATTACGATAATAAATATATTTAATGGTTCTATGAGGTCTCAGAGACACGAATTTATTTTTTATGCCAATAACAGGCCATACATCTATACCCAGCATATTCTGTATCGCAGCCGCTTCTCCTAACGCTATATCTTCCGACATAGTAGTAAAAAGTACCGGACAATCCTGAGATTGCATTGTCTTTATACAGGAATATAACGCAGATTTTAATATTATTTGGAAACCTATGATCAAGTTCGCTGTTCTATACATCGGGTTGATCATATAATCGCTGTATATCATACTACAACATTCGTAGATAAATTTCTTGCCATTGTAAATGCAATGGGGACAAATATCCTGCATACCAAATTCAAATTGTAAAGTTTTTCCTACCAATACAACTATTAGCACTTCTATATTTGGGAAAAGATGTAACAATATTTCCCAAGCTGGTAAACCGTTTTTTTCTATGGAATCAGCTTGTACAATATGAATGGTATAGATAGGTCTGTTCAGTAGATCAAATAATCCTGCGTAGTACATACCATAATATACCGAGAGCGGTTCTGACACGTAATCGGTATAGATGTAATCCAAAGCGTACCATACACCTTTTCTGTTTTGTACATATTCTTCTATAAATTTTGCCATGTCATTGAAAGGTCCATCGTCATCGGGAAACTTCATAAATTTTAACGATAATGAAGCTTTACTTTCGTATTGAACATTTGAAAGCTGAAGATTTAGCCATAGTATCAAAATGTCGCAAATGTTGTGATGTAGATCCTCAAATTCTTCTTTGTGTTCTAAACAATAGTCGATGGACAAACATTTTTTGCAAGAATACAGTCCAGTCTGTTGGTGACATATAAAGCATGATCTAGCGTATATGAACATGTTATATTCGTATTTCTCAAGCGGACGTTTTAGATAATATGCAACTGTTACATAAAATTCATACTGTTCATTGCTCCATTCATCGTCAGTAAAACGGCGAGTGAACCATTGAGGGTAGTCCTTTAGGAACTTTTCTATAGCTGTACAAATTTGGCGGTGTTGCGGAAGGTGCAGGTTTTTGTGATCTTCGGAGCAGTAAGAGATCAAGAAACACCGGTTACACGTTGTTAAATTTATCGTTTCTTTTGTCCTCTTGCAAACATGACAAAGATTTGGATGAAACATCTTATTGTAATGTACAGACGTCCACGGTCCACAGTATGGAAGTAATGTCGACGTGATGTTCATATTAGGATACTTGTGTAATAATGACAGAGTATTGTATCTGCAATATCAACTTAAAAATAGTGCACAGTATTCGCCAACTTAGCAGAAATAATAAAATTATCTCTATACGCAGTATTAATGGTTGCTCGTGGATTGCTTGAAAGTCACTACAGTAAAGTGTTTACATATGTTTCTAGGCATTGCAATATTTGTTTACAGTTTAAGACGTAAACAATCTGAACCGAGAGGATAAGACTAGATAGCCACAAATATTTATTGCCGCAGGTATTATTGTAAATAAATTTGAAACATACGACAGAAATTGCAGGACATTATATTGTTGTCAATATTTTTTAAAATAAAAGTTGTGTATAATAAATTTAACGTAACTAAATTAATTTTATAGGTTATTAACTTTAAATTTATAACTTAACTTGGTTCAGGAAATTTAATCTATAATATTGAATATTGATTGTATACTATGGTGCACTGATCATAATAGCAATATAACAGATAGACAGAAAATAAATTTATAATTATGATGTAATTATATTTGTCTAAATACTAATTATTAAAATAATATAATTAATAATTTGAAACTAAATTTATAATTATATGATAATCATATGAATGTCAGTGTGACTCTTGCGGCATTGGTAAAGCAGTCGGTAAAATCAGAAATTCATAAACTATATATCCTCTTAACCTACATATCTTTCGCTGCCCGCCTTCTGTGTGGTGCCATCTCTTAGAACGAAAAGCAACCGGATGTTATGAGAATTAATTGATCACTCAGAGATGAGATTCTTTTGGAAACTTTGCGATTTCTGCCTTACGCTAGAATATCTCGGCTTATAAAACACACAGCGCAAAAGTAAACACAAAAGTAATAGTTTTTTGTATATAACTGAAATCGATTAATCTATAATTGGCATCAAATTGGTCGTTACGACGTGATGATAATATTGTCCTTGTTCAATTAAAGATGTCGTGTAAGCATGTACGATACGACTTCGTCTGCCTATTTTTTATTTGGCGTGTATATTTAAACTCTCGATTGTGTAAATTTGAACGTTTATACAAAATTTTATCATATCTTTTGATTTATGATCGTATATACTGTTAGGTGAATCTTATTGAACAAAAATTGTACGTGATATGCAGATTTCGTGTATTTCTTAAAATAATCTGCAATATTTAATTTTTTAAGATTAAAAGAAGATAAGTTTATATGCGAAAATTATTTTTCTTTCAAGAGAAGGAGAAGGATTAAATCAATTTTTGAGAATAAAAATTCATTATGATAAATAAAGAGTTATTTGTCAAACAGCTGATACAGAATGCAGTCCGTTTTTATTATTATATATTTCGAATGCCATGTCTATAATATTCTGATTATAATTATACAGGAATATTGTTACAATTTAGCTTTAAATGTATGCACTTTTAATCTATTAATTCTCTTGCATTTAAATTATTCTTATTTATTATAGTTATTTATCTTTATCGTACGCATGCAAATACAAAAGCAAAGATCCAATATTTTGTGTTTCAAATATTTGTGAGTAATAAAATGCACATGCAATGTTATAATGTAATAAGAACGATTTTTACATTTTTCAAATAAACATTCTTTATATCTGATAAAAGTTGTGATAGATATAGATACGTTTTCTATATTCTATTGTCAACATAAAAAATTCAGACTGTTTACGCAGTATGTAGATGTTTGGTCAGTAATTTTTCGAAGTATATTAATAAAATGTTATTAATAAAAGTATATTAATAAAAGTATATTAATAAAGAAGTATATTAATAAAAACTAGTATTAATAAAATGTTTACAATACTTGCGTATTTTCGGAATTATTGATAATTCGATATTGTACATATAACCGAAGAAATCACCAATTACGAATATTCGCCGATAAATTCGCTAATATTCGATACTTTTACAATATTGATTTAAATGTCTTCAATTGTCTAATTTTCTTGCATTTCAGTTATTTTTATCTATTATGTTTACTTAGTTTGTTGTGTATATGAAAATACTAAAAAGCAACAGTATCATTATCCTCATGCTTCTGTTACTTGTGAATAATATGTGCGCATGCAATATTATAAAATATAAAACTTATTATAATACTTTATGTATTATAATAATATATAATATATTATAATACTTAAATATTAATATAATACTTTACATTCCTATACATATCATAAAATTTTACTAAACAAGTGTCTTGAAGGTATACACATGTATGTTTTTACTATTCTCTTGTTTATTTATTTTATTACGTTCTATTTATTTATCTTAATTAACGCCAAGGCGTATATCTTGAAAACACCTAAAGATATTCTACTTTCTTTAGATGTTTTTTAAACACTTTTAAAAGATCGGTACTACATGGAATGTTTCTCAAGTTCCTAAATTTTCACAAACTGGATAGCATAAAATTGTACGCGCATGGACGCAGTAGTTTAATTATATTAATATGCAATATATGCGTGTCCTCTTGTTTATCAAGAAATCAATGTCTTTGCAGAGACCAGATTTCATCGATCGTAAAAATCATACATAGCATTAACTGATAGCAACGAGCGAGTGATCTAAGAACATTTATCTAAAGACGACCTTGGAAACCCGCATTGTACACAACATTTATCTTTCTCTGTCTCTTTCCATCTGCTCCTTTACCTCTCCCACGCTACGTATCGAAAGTTCAATTGACCGGAACGCCGAAGTCGAAATTGAGCCGGCGTATCCCGGTGAGCGAAATTCCACGTTGACTCTGACACTTTCGCGTCTGTTCCACGTGTGCGGATATGAGCAGGAAGGAGTGTGGTCGTCGCCGCGCGTGAAAGCGCATACATATATATATATACACACAGCGCGCGCGATTTGCGAATCACTTTCTTGCCGTACATGCTGCCTTGCTACGAGGTTCGCCAATTCGAAGGCCTGACGATATACCCGAACCCTTCCTTCGCACATCGTCCGCGCGTATCGTGCGAGGACGCGCGCGCGGTACCAGCGCGGCGCTCGACATCGCGTCGGCTCAAGGTGAACGCCGACGACGAAGAACGGTCGCGAGCGGCCGGAGGGTGAGCGGATAATTACGCTCGTGAGTTGTACACGTGGTAAAGAAGAAACGTGCCGCGGCCTCGTCGGCCGCGAGAGCGTCTTCTCCACGCGACACGCTGCTCGCACATGTTACGCCTCCGAGTCTCATCTACCATACACGTGTACAGCCGGCGTACGTCGCGACAGCTCGGTCGCTTTCCACTTGCCGGTGCTGGCTGATCCCCCGCGGACCTTTTCGCGACACTACCTGCACTTCTCGAAAGCAACAGCGCTGTGAGAGACGTTCATTTTGGTAAATACGCGATGCATATCTGGGGTACTTAACGTTTTAATAATCGTTACTTTCTCATCGTCGAGACAGAGTGTGGCGGTGTGAGGAGAGGAAGAGAGAGAGAGAGAGAGAGAGAAAGCGCTCTCGGGAAAATCGCATGGACGAGCTTGCTATATCCGGCGAAGAAGAATGCTTCAGTGAACGCGATCGTAGTCGAGACTCCGTGTATACTCGCGTTAGCGCAAAGCGCGACGAATTAACAGACATATACCGTTAATGACATAAGGCGTGTGTGATGCAGCGCGTCAATTGCGAACGTAGTGTCAATTGCGAACTCACCGCGACGCGCACGGTGAGCTCGCCCATCAGGCGAGCAGACTCGCAAGGAGCTCTCCGAGGAACGGCCCCTCCGGCTTACCTCGACTCTTGCTCTGTCCCGCGCGTCCCTCCCGTGCGCCGAGCCGGCACTATAGCGTCCTGACGACGGCACGTGAAATAAAATGATGCTGACAACAGCTCGACGACGGTGGGTCGAACGCGACCTGCGCCCGCGCGCAGGTCTAAAGCTCTTGCAGACCAGCGCGACACGCGATACGCGACACACGATCGCAAGAATAGATCTTTTCATGTCTTCACATAGACGCGATGATCTTTGCAATTGGCCTGTTCTTTTTAATAGCACTACTGAACTGATGCAATAAGTTAGAGTGAGACAAATATATTTTTCTCGCTTTAACTTATTGCATCAGTGCAGCTAAAAAGAACAGAACAAATAGTGTATGCTAAGCTTGTAGGACGCAAAATACTGACAGCATTTTTTCAATGGAATTGTTTAATGAGAGAAAGGAAACAGTTTTTACTTTTATTATATCTTTCGCGAATAAATAATAGAGAAATTGATACAAATATAAAATGTTTATCTTGTTTGTAGCTGCACTACCACTTGCAATATAACTATTATTTTCTTTGTATTTCTTTAGAAATGTATCTCGTAAATTTTTCCACTTTCTTTTTACAAATATTAGGGTCTGTATCTTTTTAAATAAAAATGACAATTATATGTTAAATAATAAAAGTATGACAATGTAGAAATTTAAATAGTGAGTAAAATATAAAATGAATCTTTTTTAAGTACATACTAAGGGCTCGACCCACTTCTTCCCAAGCTTTTCGTATTATGTTCATTCCTCTCATTTTTATATCCAATCTGTGATCCCATAAACATGACCTTTCTTGTACTTTTGATATTAAAATTTTTTCAAATACTTCAAATGCTTGTGAGTTTAAAGATTTATTGGGCTGAAAATTTAATATATAAATAGAATTGATTTAAAACGACTATTGTTAAACAAATGATATCATTCAGTGACTAACCTGACATAACTAAAACAAATTGATAATTCTTTATACTTACATCTATATTTTCTATATCTGCTTCCATATTTTCATCGAGGTATTCATAATCTTCATAATCTGCCATAATAAATTTAACCGTCTGATCCTGAGCACATATTGTTGAAGCTTGGCAGAACAAGAAAAACTGGACTAATTGATTTGCGCGGGACGAGATGCTGTTTCCTCTAATGGCAACCTCGCTCCTCGGTCGGCATCGCTCATCGCGCGCGACAAATCTTCAAACTTGGTCAACTTTTTTGCGACGTTGTGATCGTGCGATGGATGTGACGTTCGGAAAAGCTGTACGCTCATTGGACATCGCGTGTCGCGTCGCGCATCACGCTGGTCTGCAAGAGCCTTTAGACGGCGAGGCGCCACCAATAGCCGCGTGTCGCTCCAA